GTGTGTGTGTGTGTGTGTGTGTGTGTGTGTGTGCGTGCATGTGTGTGTGTGTGTGTGTGTGTGTGTGGGTGATGACTCTGTCAGGACTCGGGTCAGGGTTGATAGGGCCATTGACAGCTTCTCAGCAGGCCTGCTGTGAGCCCTGTCAGTCTCTCTACTATTTACTTCCTCCCATTCCACCCTAACACAGCTCCTCTCGCCCGCTCTCCTCACACTCCTGTCTGCATTTGTACACATTTGCTATGGATTAGCCACGCACATTATATTTTAGCACCACAGGCAGCACTGTTCCTCACAGCAGTGACAGAAATCGCCTTTCCAAATCATGCCCAATCAATTGAATTTAAAGCAGATGGACTTCGCTCAAAGGTTAGAAACATTAAATCTCAAAAGATGATCCGAAAAAATGGGCTAAATTTCAAGAGTCATAGCAAAAGCTTATATAATGTCAATTTCAAGTGTTAAAGCAAATACTTATGTAATGTGATGTTTCTTGTTTTCTTTTTTTCTTTCTTTCTTTATTTTGCCATAATGTGGTATGGAGTGTAAAACTAATTTTATTTAAAGCATTTTTGCTTCAGGTTGCAACACAAAATGTGAAAAAGAAGGGATTTGAAACTCTGGCCATGGAAATGAGTATAAATATAAAGAATACTTTTGTAAGGAACTGTTTATGGTTAAAAAAAAAAAAATTATTTTAATTTTCTGTTGGCTGTTTATTTTATTTCAAATATCTGATTCCAACTATTCTGCCAACTTTTGCTACGGGGGCATATGTTTAAAGAGTTTTATTTTATTTTATTTTTTTTCTGCCATCCCCTTCACTTGTCCGATATTTGTTACTCTTGGGTTCCCTTCAGGATCAATTAATTGTCTTTCTATTGATCCAACAGTTTTGCACTCCCCTGGGTTTGATTAGCAAAGCGAGAGGGGACAGATGGTACCATTCCTATTACTCAGATTTATTTTCCCCCAAATCAGAGTCATCTATCTATCTATCTATTTTTTTGTAGTAGCCTTATTCTATTGACAAGATTATATGATATTGATTAAGTTTGTTTCCACAAAACCCAGCGTGTGATTGATCCCCTTTCAACCTCTTTCTTTTCAACAGTTCTTTTTCCACCCCCACTGGTCGTATGCATGCATTTATTGAACCTGTGTGGTACTGACTTGCTGAGCCTCAAGCCGTTAGCCATACAGCCGTACATTTACCACAAAGGTCAAAAGAGAAGCTTAGATATACCAGAGCTTTTAGAAACATTCGTCATCTTTCTTTACCAATGAAGCCATGCATAATTAGTGCTTCTACTTTGACAGACTTTTCCTAATCCATTTTAGGCCTGTTTTGCATAACACTAAAACAACGGAGATTAAATTAATGACAGTCACATTTACTTAACTGGATGGTTACATAGCATAGACTTCTATCATTTTTATACAGCTAATTATAAATAGTATAAACTAACTTAAACCTATACCTTAACCCAATCTATTTTACAATTAATTTTTTTTTTTTTTTTATATACAAATTATTTCTTATACAGATGTCCCTGATTGGTTTTTACTCAAGTATAGATCAGTGGTACACACATACACGCCATTACAATTCTTATTGCCAATTTGCATGAGACATTTTAAAAACAGCAGCTTTCATCTACAGGATGAAAGCATGTGGCCGAAGCACACTGGTGCTATTGAGCAGTCATGGATTGCTGGATTAACTAAATTGGTCTTTCAATCTATTTAATTCTAGCACATGCACAAGCACATAATAAGACATGCAATTATATAAACCAACTAACATAAACAAAGAGGTTAAAATGTGCAGAAATTAGAATGCAATGTAACATACGGACATGTAATGATAAAAAGCTCAGCTGTAAACTCGCCGAGGGAAGATGTGGGGAACGCCTCCTTCAGGATCAGCTGAGAGCTATTCTCTCCCCTTCTGCTAATAACTGGATTAGTTGTGGAGAGACAGACAGACAGACAGAGCAGCAGGTCCAAACAAAACGGACACAGATTAAGAAAGGAGGGGGGTGTTAGTGCTTTGGGATCACAATTCCCACATGCATTGGGGAGGGATCCTGATGAGGCTGACTAATTATATCAATATTAGGGGAAAAGGTTGTAGGTGGCAAAGAAAATGAAGAAAAACGAGAGTGTGACGGTTATTAAAACTAACCAAAAAAATCTAAATAAGGTAGAATTTAGGCCTGAAAAATGCTATTTTCTAGAAAATCTTCTAACGGATAGACTATTTTATAATATATTAAATATAAACATCTCTCAACAAATGCTATTTTGTAGCTAAAAGAAACCAATTCATCTACAGTATGATACTATCAATGAAGCCATATCACTCCATATTCCACAATATCTTTTTTTGATATTCCATAATATCCATAATTCCATAATTTTTTTTACACGTTCATGATTTTAAAAATGGTACTCAATACATATTTTGTCCCCCTGGAAAAAAAAAAATATATAAAAGTAAATAAATAAAAATAAAACAGATCCAGGGAACGGTTTGTTTAGTGTTGCCAAAACTGAGAAGTACAGTATCATAATGCACTAATGAGGCAATATATAAACTACAGCGCAAAAATAAATAAATTATTTAATTAAATAAAAATAAAAAACTCTGTCAATACCAAACATGGCTGTCTAAAGCTTTCATTTTATTAAAAACTCTGGGTAAGCCTGGCCATGTTTGGAGAATTAAAGACAGAGAAGGAACAGACAGGACAGAAGGAGAGAGGTATATTTTTAATACATTTAATACTATGTCTTTTTCACCTGGGGAGAGAGAGAGAAAACTATAAAAACAGCTGTGGTGCTAAGGAATTCTGGGAAAATCTAAGAGACAAGAGTCAATTTTTTCCACTCTTGACTTGAGATCCTCAGAGACGCTTTATAAACAATGTTAGCTTGAACAGGATATCAAGCAAGATCTGAACATAAGGGAAACTGTATTATCCATATCTTTGAAGGACAGCTTGGGCTAGTCAACTGACTTTAACTGAAATATTGACTGTGTACTATTGTCCTCTTTTTAGCTGCATGCTTTACAAGAGAATTTAATTTTGTTTGCATTCTTGAAACATTATTTTCCTGTTTGCCACTGTAAAGCTGCTGTGGCACAATCTGTACTGTATAAAGCGCTTGACTTGACTTTTCAAGGTGAGGGAGACAACTCACTTAAACACACACACACACTCTCACAGACACACACACACACCATCGGTGGACCTCCTGTCTGTTCAGGGCACAATCCCCCACCTCAAGCATAACAAAAGTGCCCCCCACCCCTGGCCATCTGCCTATATGCTTTCTCTCCCCCCCGCCCCGTCAGACAGAGTCACTCCCCAGCTGTGTCGCCTGCCCTCTGCACCCCCTTCCCCATCAGCTCTGTTATTAACCAGCTGTGAGCGCCCACTCGGGCATCTGCTGGCTACACAATGGGGGCCTCTGCCCTCCCTAATGCTGTCCTCGAGCCTGAGGTCACCGCAAACCCTCTGTCTTTTCTGTCTCTTTTCTAGCCCAGCTACCATTCACTCCTTATAGACATTAACTTGTGCTAATTCTGTACAGAAAATGTGCGTTATTAATCATTTCAATCATGATATTCAGTCTGTGGACACTCTTAAGTGATCATTGCAGGTCACGTTTATGGTTGTTCTGCGAAATTCAATCATTTCAATAGGCATCCACAATTAGGAACTTTGTGTGAAGGTGAAAGATTTTGCCCACACAGATTTTGCTCGTGTTCAAGTTGGCTGTGCAAATTTGCCTGGGTTTGATGAAAGTGACTTTTACGTTTTTTTCATGCAAAATGTCCTTAATGTGACTGTGCCATTAGCGTGAAACTGACTCTAGAAATACGTTCTTGTTACCTAAGACAAGACAGTGTGCATTATTACTACATTTTAGTGGATTCATTTGGGGGTGTTCTGAGCAAATGTCTTCTCCAGGGTCCGAAAACAGTCATAAATCAATGTTACTCAATATTTTGTAGAGTTCATCTATACGTTTCCAATATTTGTGTACCTTCCCTTAATTATGAGGGGCTGTGACCTTGTCCTATGATAGGTAATCATTGTTAACATTACTTTCAGTAAAACCTTTCAGTGAACAGTTTCTAAAATAACTTTTTTTTTTCCTCAGTGTGAAGAACACTTTAATAATCTGAAGAAACTTTCCCCACTATTAAAGACCTTTTGCATTTTGGTTCTATAAATGCTCTTCATGGTTCTTCTTTGAACCATTAATGCCAATAAAGAACCTTTATTTTTAAGAGTGTAGGTAGAGCTGTGATCTAAAAGTGGCTGGAGTATGGATCATCATATAGCAAACTGAATCTGCTGCATGCTTTCTTAAGTTGCACCTTGCAGATATATAGATTTGATTGTGTTTTTTCTCACCTGCACATGACCTCATGAGTTAGCAGAACACGGCACATTTCTGGATTCTTGTTCTGTCCCTCATACGATATGGGCTGAACCATGCAGAACAGAAGTCATCAACTCAATATAGAGCAAAATTAAGAAAGTGTTTCTTGCGACTAAAAGACGTTTAGCTCAGAAAAAGGTGGTGCTGCTTTACCTGTTTAGTGACAGAATCAATGAGACGTGCATAAAGGTCTTGTTCTGTGCGAACACCTGTGAACAAAAATTAGTCAGATTGTTGATACAGAAGTGACTTAAATTTGGAACCACATTTCCATAGAGTAGAGTAGAATCAGTTCTTTCGTTAAGAAAACAAAAATAAGAATTTTAAATTTTAATTTAATGCATAATAGGATCACCTCATTATTATTATCTTTTTTTTTTGTGCTGAACAAACTAAATGTTGATTGCTATATGTCCCAACAGACAGAATAATATCTAAATGGACATAAATATTTACATATCTGATGAGAAATGAGGAGCATACCATTACTGTAGAGGAGCTGGAGTTTGTAGTGAGTTCCATTATTGGTCTTTTCCCCCGTCTGCTCCTCAGAAGAACAGCAAGGACAGACATGGCAAGAACAAAGAATTCTGATTACGCAAAATTAGCATTTAAACAAGCGTACAGCATGCAGTTCACGATTGAGTGATGTCTACAAAGCACAAGGTACTAATGGTGCAATATATGACTTTGGTGCATTTATACCACTCAGAAGCGGATGATTTTGTTTGCATCTCTTCTCGTTCAGTTTAACCATCAGATTGATGGATCAGAAGGAGGGAGACAGATAATTGTACTGTGATGTTAAATGCATATACAGGCATTTTACATTACAGTATGCCATGTGATACTGTAAACTGAGGCCTTACTATAGTAGAGACTACCACGGCTGTGTCATATCGTAACTTTGATAACACACTGAAGAGATTACAAACATTAAATTTGCCACTTGTGAAAATAGTACTAAAGCGAATAAAAAACTAGGTGCTTTTTTTAGCGTTTGAGAATCTGCATTAGGTCAGGACAGCACAGAGGAGGCATGAAAAATGGATGCATCAAGTTGAGTAGAGTACAAGAGTGGCGTCTCTAATTTTCCTGCATTGCAAATATTCCTCACATTCTATTTCCTCTCGCCAAGCTCAAGCTTTAACTCAACGTTAAACTGTAGGAAACATCATCAGAAATCCAGTAATGTTCAGTCCCGTGAAGCATGCTGTTAGAATATACCTTGTCCTGCTCCACGAAGCCAACAAACACTGTCCTCTCCACTTCCACGGCCTGCCCATTGCGGTCATAGAGCGCCAGAACAAAATGGAAGAAGTTGGACTTTCGGAGATTGGAGGGAGGTTGCTTTTCAAAGTGAGCACGGGATAAGGCCACTCCACTACAGGTGCAGGGTTTGGGAGAATAAACACAGATGCTTGATTTATTCTTTTTTTTTTTTTTTTCCCACACTGTGTTCACAGTTCAATTCAACTGACCATAAACTGATACAATACCATCCACTAAACTCAACAGTCTCTGACAAGATATTAATGAAAGATACTTCCACATCTGAATCTCCACTGAATGCTGCACTAATAAAAATGCTTGTGTCTGAATCTTTATAACCTAGTCTTGCTGAAAACAGCAACTATGTTAAGCCTAAAAAGCTTATTTTGAGCATAATGTAGTCACAATAAAAATATTAGGAAAAGCCTATATAATTCAGCAGTTGTCTTGCTCAGATTGTGTTAGTTACTCTCACCAAATTCGATGACAAGTTCTTACATTTTAACAAATGTAAAAGCTAAATCTTTGAAGAAAAATAAAATCGGAACAAACTTTTGTGTTTGCAGCAGTATCAGTATCAGTATAAAGACACATTGTTAGCAATGCACTTTTTTATGTCCAACAAATCAGTTGTAATTGTTCTAATAATATATAATTTGATTAAATAATGAAAATGCACATTAATAAAATTCGTCACAAGCGTGAAAAAAATCTCAAATACACTGCAGTTCAGAAAGCAAATTGACAGCTAATGAATAATTATTCATATAGATGTATGTCTAACAACAAACAGCTGTCTATGGCCGCGTGAGTGGTCTCTATACTTAGGATGTTTTGTGGAAACGCAGCTCTCTTAATATCGATTAATTTAGGCTATAGAACTGTGAAATTAAAGAGGGGACAAAATCGATCAAAACTTAGGTGCAGGCAGTAGATTCGTGTGTTTTCGTTCATATTAAGATACTTATCTAACCCTAATCAGAAGTGTTATGACCACTGCAGACAGTCCACTTTTAAACATTTGATTTTGAGTTCCTCAGATTAAGAATTAAACAGATTCTTAAAGAATATGATGCTACTCTTCTCTTCATATGAGCAAGGAATGAAAAGGAAGGACGTCACAAACAATCGTGCTCAAGTGCACGGGTAATTTCATCATGACTCAATCCGGGTGTCATTGTGTTGTGTTGTGTGCCTCTTTCACTCGGCTCGTGACTCTGTCACCTCCAGCTATTGAAGACTGAGCTCTGAAGCAGAAGAGCTGACCTGTTGCTAGTTATTTTTGCAATGCTATAGAAAACAAAAGATACTCTTACAGTTAAGTAGTAGCCTAATAGAATAGAATACTACTACTATAACCTACTTAATAATAGTATAGCCTACATATAAAAAATAATAACGCGCGTGCTATTGAAGAGAAATATTTCGACAACTCATATTTAGACTGATACTTATTTTAATCCTAAATTTATGCTCTGTTATTTTGGATGGTAAATAAATAGTTTAACATCTGTGTCGTGTGCTGTTTCGGCTATAATCAGAGGACTGGACAGTTAATAATTTAGATGTTTTTTTCTTTAGGTGGTGTTTTTACATGCATGCACTAATGAAAAGAATTGAGTGTGCATCAGTGCAGAACAGCCATACCTCTGCGCCGCTATGTTTGCGTCAATAACGCCGACATTCCGCACCCAAGAACGAACAGGATCCATTTCTTCTTCAAAACTTCCCACTTTAAACCCAGTGATGTTTCCAGTCGGGTGATCTTGGCTCCCAAACATTTACGACAAGTTTGCAATGACAAGGCAACCTCCTGTGCAAATCCACAATTCTGCGTAGCACTCAGTAGATGTGACGATTTCCCCAGTTTTTTACAATACCGAGATTCTCCGAAACAGTCCGTGAGTTAGCTACTCCGTGCTTCTTCTTCTAAGTTTTTCGGAAACGTGCTGTCTTGGCGTATATTTGCCCTTCTTCGAGATCCATTCAAACTGTACGCTCGCGCGCATTACCTGTCGCTCACCTGATCCGCAGGAGCACCATTCACTTCCCGAACAACGTCTGCAGATATAAAGCCACTCGGGGTAGGAGTTGAACCATCCACAAGATGCTCTGGAGAGGTTATGTGCTGTAACTGCTGAGGATGGATCGTGCCCGGTTAAGAGCAGGAGACGGCGATGATGCTGCAGGGACCCACAGTATGAATGAGCTCGGAAAAGAGGAGGGGC